GCTGGCTGTGTAGTGTTGTGTTTTGTCAGAGAGCTGACAAATGGAGGTTGCGAGTCTTTTGACTAATATAGTTGCAAGTCGTTTGACTGTAAGCCAACGGGGTCGTTTGACCACGGTAAGAAAACCTCTGTGACGTCTTGCCTTCGAGTTGGTCTTGAGAGTTTGAGGTCTCCATAATGTCTTCTCGATTGACGATGCGGCGTTGGGATGGTGAGCCACCCAAATAGCTTATTCGATTGGGATGCGAATCTGTTTAGCGGCAGAATTGCGTCCGGTGGAAGCCCCTATACTATTTCAGGTGACACTAGCTAGTTGTTGAAGATTTTTAACCAATAGATCCGAATAATATTTGAATTAGATGGAAGATGTGGAATGGGATATATTGAATAGAATATCAGTGATGTCAGTGGCTAGGGGGCGGAGTACCCCCGGGTGAGTCTTACTATTTAACTATCAATTTTATCCAGATCAGTAAATGTTTGTCTTGTTATTTTCATGTACAATGAGAGAGTGCTTGCCAATGACCAACTAAATGGATATTTGAGGTGAATTTGCATTGTGAGACCCGGTTGAGTAAGCCCCAAAAATACCGATTTTACAATTACGAGTTTTTGGTTTAAATAGATAGTGTTGTACTATTCTATTACTAGCAGACCTTGTAGTCGAACATTGTTCTTTTTAGAACCTCTTTTAGTACGAAGTGGTACAAGATAGCTTAATACCCGTAAAAAACCCATCGCAACTTTATTAGAATATTTTGAACAGGAAAGCGGTAGTAATGGCCCTTTATGTCCCTTAAGTGCTGTTTAGAAGGTGAGTTTTGTTGATGTAAATAATAACTGTTTATATATTTATAATTAATTTATTTTTGTTTCCTAAAATATTTTGATTAAAAGAAAATATATAAAAGTGGCCAAGGCTGTGCCGGTCAAGCTTAATCATGTGACTAAAAGTTTATTTGGTATGAACTGTATATAGAAATCACCTAAATATAACCTAAAAAACCTTTTAACCTCTCAAAAAGAAATATACGCCAGAGCATAGAACATTACAACGACAAAACGGCTTATAAATTTATAGCTGTCGATAAAAGGACATCCCGATAAAATTTCAAATGTTTCCACGTATATATAAAATAGAACGGTTTTCACTGAGAGTTAAATTATTGACTCGGCTATTCAATTTCCTTTTTTGTTCGATTTGATGCCAAAGGACTTTTTTCTAACCCAATTTGTAGTAGAATGGCACAGCAAAATTCACAGAAGGTGATAAAATTGCCGTTTTTTGCCGCATAAAATTCGAATTTTATTAATATAAAGTGTAATATTAATTTATTATATGTGTCTAGTTGTAATTGATAGTCTGGCGAATTTGTTCGCCAGTAGCACTGTTATCCTACACAATAAATTGAAAAAGCGTACCTCTGATATTTAAATAAGGTATTATGCTATTAAGTTATTATTTATTACATTCTTAACGTGCAAGTACTGCCTTATCTGTACACAACACACTGAAAACAACAAACACTTGTACACAACACAGTACATGGAAAACTCACATGAATCTTCCCATTTACTTAAATACTCACGAAACGTACACATTTACTGACAAAATGTATCTGCGTAAAATCGCCTTCTTCAAAATTATTGTACCTTTTTATGTCGGTATATGGGGTAAAAGTTTGCTTTTGTTGGCTTATTGCTTAGTGTCTTAGAGACTTGACTCTTGACTGATATATCTACTTGGAAAGGCAATCTTCGTTAAGGCGATTTTTTTAACTATAAATAAAAATGAATTGTATAAACTTAAAAACACTTTGAAACTAATAAACACAACAATTTCAAAACATTCTGTGGTTTCAGCTGTTTTATTTGCTTTGCGGCAGGGGCGCTGTAGGCAGTAGGACCGGGCCGAATTTATTAAATTTAAAAATTCCTGTCAATAACCTTTTATGGTGAAAAATACTAAACGTGTAAATGAAATAACGTGGCTTGTTTATACGTATAGTTTTTATATTGTTACATGCTGTTGAAATGTAGTTTTTATAATACTGTACGCAATAATCATAACTATCGATCTCTAAAGCCTGACGCTCACTAGACAGAAGCGCGCCGGAGCGCACAGTAGCGCGGCGAAAAGGAATTTTTATAATACTCGTACATAGTTTTAAATCGTTTCGCTGCCGACCGCTGCGTTTCCGCCAAGCGCGCTCCCATTTAAAACTATGTATTATAAAAATTCCTTTTCGCCGCGCTGCCTTGCACTCCGTCGCGCTTGCGTCTAGTGAGCGTCAGCCTTAATAAGAATGTATAAGTTGCCGTTAAAGTCCGATGTCCGGTTAAAGCAGGACGCACATTATCGCGGAACGGAATGGATCGGAACGGATCGCAATGGAACGGAAATTTTAAAAAGTATATAATTAAGTTAGAGGCCGCACACTACCGCGGACCGGAGCCGCGAGGAATGGATCGGAACCGAAGGGAATCGCTGGAATTGCTTGCCGAGCGATTTTTTTCCGTGGTTCCACAAACCCGTCAGGTTTTCAATAGAATGTTTACAAAATACGCACGATGCACAAGAATTTTAGACAGGTTAGAGCAAGTTATTTATTATATTATCACGCAGTTCTGTGTTTGTGAATACGATGGATGAAGAACAATTGATTAATTTTATTCGTGGTTATCCACATCGTTATTTATTGAGTGATAAAAATTTTCATAATCAACAAATGAGAGAAAATGCATGAGATGAAATTCTAAAGTATCCATCGCAAAAGAACAACACACTAAAACTTAAACCAAGCCAATCTAGTCGTAAATTACTCAAATATGTAAAAATAATTTTTTCCGAGGAAATCCGCGCTAATGTGCGGTGATTCAAAATTTCCATTCCGATCCGATACGTTCCGATCCATTCCGTTCCGCGATAATGTGCGTCCTGCTTAATGTCGACATTAACAGGTTAATGTTTGGATTAGGTTATGTTTTTGGTTGTTTTGTTGTGTGTTATTCTCGAGATTAACCGGGTAATGTCGACATTAACCGGACATCGGACCTTAACCGTAACATATACCGGGTGCGTCTCAAAAGTGGCTCACCCCCTATAACTTTTTTATTTTTTCAGATAAAACAACGATATTTGGTATGTTAGTATATGACATAAATTGGGATTGCTTGACGTATTCAACTGTTTTCGGTCACTTCCGGTTTCACCGAAAATGACTACAACTTTTTATTTTTAAATGGCACCCTCGGTATTTTTTTACTTTATTCGATAGAAAATGACACTCTGAATCGAATGACATATCATTTGTCAACTTTTGACATTTTGGCATATGGTTTATTTGAAATTATAACATGCGGTTCATAACGACAATTTGACTCAAAATACCAAGCGTGTGGTTTCAAATTATTCGTAAAAAAATGCTTTTTCCAAATATGTTAATGAGCCACCCTCGTTCCATTTGAAAAAATTGAGATATGACTAAAAATACGATTTGGGCATCTTTTAACCGGCCAGGACAAGACACTAAAAACATTAGACGATCAAATCTATTTTTCCAAGGCTCCTTGATTAAAAATTAGTGTTTTTAACACAGCCATGCCACTCTAGATTGAAATTTAAAATAGAATTTGTTTTTGAGTGACTATGTCAAAAATTGACATATGATATGTCATTCGATTCAGAATGTCATTTTCTATCGAATAAAGTAAAAAAATACCGAGGGTGCCATTTAAAAATCAAAAGATGTAGTCATTTCCGGTGAAACCGGAAGCGACCGAAAACAGTTGAATACGTCAAGCAATCCCAATTTATGTCATATACTAACATACCTAATCTCGTTGTTTTATCTGAAAAAATAAAAAAGTTATAGGGGTGAGCCACTTTTGAGACGCACCCGGTATATCAGATAAATAATGGTACATATTTTTATATAGGGCGAAGATTGTGATGTTTCTGTGATTTAACATTATTATATCTCTGACTGAGGAAAAAACACGGAAAGAAGGATAAAATGGGGAAAAACAGGAAACGAGGGAACCAAGGAGGCATAAAATTGCCAAATCAATTTACGAAATACATTTTACCGTATAAAGATTTACGATTTAATCAAAAAGCAGTCTCGTGTGGTCGTATTTCATTTTTTATATTGTGCTTAATTTTGATTGGGTCTTTTCTTTTTTAACGAGTTTAATAACTCATAGCTCTCTCTAACTAAATTAATCAACCGAAGGTTTAAACTACCAGAGGGTGATAAGTCCTCTATGTCCTCAGATGGGGGTGGTATAATCAGGGGTACCACAGAGCTCGGAAATTATGTCTGTTGACTTGTTTGTGGGTAGCACATTCCATAAGAAGCGTTACTAATGTACTAGAGCTTCACTTAAGCTGTATTTTTTTTTTCAATAAACAATAGAATTAAGGTGAAATAGAAGAAATTTTCCATGTCTTCAGATGTGGATGGAACATACCATTAGTTCATGTAGATTTATAGATTGTATAGGAGAGCCAGGAGAGGGGAAGTTAATCCCCTTTCTTGAGTTATTACATATTATACAGTCTCAGGGTCTTGACAAAAGTCAGTATCTGAGACGGTTTTACAGAGGCAGTTCTGCATCTCCGATACCAGTCGCACTAAATTTTATGGCACACATGGTTATAGTTTCGGTTCTTCCAGTCTTCCAGGTTCTTGAGTTATGCTTTAAGTTGCTTTCCACTTCGAAAGCAGAACTATTCTGGTCCAGTTAGTGGAGTGTTTTCTACTTTTCTAGCTAGATCGTAACTAGATCGTTCTTCTAGCCCTTGGTGAGCTGGCACCCAGAGTAGGAGGACTCCATTTTTTTTGTCTAATTCCAGTTCATACCATCAGTTCATAATATTTATGCTTTTTGATTACAGACATTATTTACCATCATACATAAAATGAAAAAAAATATCTATGTGACAAACCCTATCACCTTTGTATATATATTTCACTAACAATAAGTTTGTTGTTTCAGGTTTGCCATGACGGTGTTATCTCCGCCGCTGGGCTGACGGTGGACCACGACGTTGCCGGCATGAGCCGTTTCTCCGAGATGGCCGGTTGAACAGGCCCAAATGGCAGGCCTGTACCTGTTGTGGTTGCTGGCCTGCGTACTCCCTTCGCTCTCCTTCCAGTCTCCCCGCTCCGTACTCGTACTCACCGAACTCTGCTACTATCCTCTCAACATGACCAGGGTCAACGACAAATTGAAAAGTCTCAATATCACTACAGTCGATGTTCTTGGACGAGATGGTAAGTAAAATTTATAGGTCGATACACATGGTCAGTCATATCGTTTATTGAAAGAATTGGGAAGATACGCAATCTAATGGGTAAATTCGTGACAAAGCTGATTTGACGTATCGTTCTGCGGCCAATGCATAAAACTAATTTTCTCTAATTCGGTTAGCGAAGTCATATCGGAGGCGGTGTGGAACTAAAAGCGACAGTGTTGCCATATTAAAATAGGCAATATCTGTAATGCGGTTGACATATACGTTGACGAAATTGAAAAAATTGAAAATTTATTCGTGCTAAATATAGAATAAACAACAAGAATAAAATTTCTTTTATAGGTACTGAATATTTCGTAGGAACAAAAAAAGTCGTTTAGTTAGCTCAGAAATGACGACTATTGACATTTACCAGAACAAATGAAATAACAGTGATCTTCATTTCCAAGCCAACTCTGACGCCGTTCTTTGTTTAATCATATAACATTATATTAAATTATTTAATGATAGAAAATCCGTATTATTAACGTATTGTACCGAAAATCCTTAAATCTATGGATTAATCCGTAGTTCTGGCAACACTGTCAACAAATATTAACAATTATTTCATTGTATTATTTTCTATAACGCCAAATCTGACTAAAAATATTTTAAACCCGGAAATTTTAACCTTTTTCGTTTTACCTTGTGTATAATTAATAAAAGTTCAACAAACTTTATCACTTCTCCATTCATATAACCTATATCGCCTCGATAAATTGGGTTATATCGTTTAGAATGTGTCCATCCCTCTGAATGCTTGGACAATGCGATGTGACAAGATTAATCGATAGATTATTTATATTATTGGCAGTTTCATTAGCGAATGACATCGGTATTAGCATCGTTCGCTAGATTTACAGTATATAGGATGAATCGGATGAAATCAGCCAATTTTTGGTTATCGCTTGCTTTGAAAATATTGCAGTAAGTATTGTTTATATTTTTTATTGTTTAAGTATAGTAGTTAGATTTATTTTACCTATTGATAATTAAGAAAATAAATATTTGTATTTTAAAATAATAATTCTTAATTAACAATTATGCGAGCAATTATGCCTTAGATATGTATAAAATATAGACTAAAGCTTCATTCAAAACTTCGGAATTAGTGGTATAAATTAGTGGTTTCAATTACGTAGCGTAGAAGTTTGTTCCTCTAATTTCAACGTAAGCATTGAAAACGTCAAAATTACTTAGTGGCACTAATTTTCAATTAGTAGAAAAAGTTAATAAACTGTTAACTTTTTAATTATAAAAAAATTGTTGAAATTGTTGTTATAAATATAAAGTTTATTGTTTTATAAGCGAATTATTAGTTGTTTTCTATGGATAAAACTGACTATCGCCAGCTATTGCTAAGATATCCTATTAATTTTAATTGTATTTTTTAAACATCGAGAATGATCGTAAACTAAAAAGTATAAAGTATAATTGAAACCGCTAATTTATTCCACTAATTTCGAGGTTTTCAATGAATCTTCTGCCTTAATTAAATATATCATTGATTGGTTTTGCCTAAACTAAAAATATACAGACAAAATGTAAACAAGCCGTCTGCTTGTTTATTTACAGTTTGTTTTGATCGCATATATAATAATACCGTATGATCGAAAAAAATCGGCGTCCAGTTGGCTTGGAAATGACGATCGATGACATTTCCCATATAATTTTACATATAAAATGACAGCGACCTTCATTTCATAGCCATCGTTGACGCCGTTTTTATTCGATCATACGGTACTTTTTTTCAAAAGTTGACTATATCATTGATATATTTCCAGAAAAAAAGATTATTAGGAAAAATGTCACAAAAAAATCATTATTTAATAAAATACTCTACTATAATATTATTCTAGGATTTACCTGTTTACATCTGGTTTGTATATTTTGGGTACCTTTGTTTTGTACACTGTAAGAACTGTCTATTTAAATTTTACATATTATTCGTCTGAGAATTATGCAATTTATTTTACTTATGAAAACGTTTTTGAGAATCTTTGAAATAGAGATATTTGGGTTACAGAAACACTACTACAGCTATCTTCATGGCCGCGCTACCTTTTCTTTTTCTTTTTTCTTTGCATGGAATTTTAAGGTCGACAAAAGTGTTCTCTGATTTGTAACGACACTCCTGACGTACCTGGCAGATTTAAAAGAATTCCTTTTTCATATTTCCACCGATTTTTCCAGTTTCTTTCAAAGCTGTCGGGTATAGGATTGGGACTAGGATGAAAGGAGAAAGAAGGTTTATAAAAAGGTGACTGAAGCTGCATTTACATAAATGAACATAGCGGGAAAAAACAGCAAAATATACAGTACAAGAAGAAGATATTTGTTTGTCTAAACTAAATTTTTATATATTTGCCAAAAAAATGGGGCCACAAAGCGATGAGCACAAATATAGTTTCCAAAATATTTGCATGTTAACATTATCTTGTTATTAAAGTATTATTCCCTTAGGCATTTGAGTAAATTACAGGTCATAATTAGTCATGTACCAAGGCCATTAAATTATTCAAATGTAGGTTATTTAAATTCATTTATTATTATTTATGGAGAATTTAATAGAAGAGTATAATATAACCTTTGAATATAAATACTAAGGAAGTAGAATATTAACAAAGTTAGGTGGAGCTCGATGGGGGACTAATATGGCTGACTTAAATTCCGAATCGTCAGTGCCGTTCTAATTTTATTTGAAACGTATAAAAATATAATGTTCGGCAGACTCAATAATTTGTTGGTTTTGTTTTACGTTGTTTTGTTTTGAAAAAATTGGTCATTTTTATGGTAAAAAACTCGAACTTCTCCAGCACGTAGAATATTTGTTTATTTACTCACAGTAAAATCGCGAAAAACAACTGAACAAAGGTGACCTTTTGCTGCAGCCAGAGTTTTACAGTTAAAAAGCCAAAATCAACGTATAATATGGCGACGATATTTCATCAAACGATGGAAAACAGTGCTCGAGTTCGAAGTGCGCCGTTCGAGAGCTGGGAAACTTTGGAAATAAATTTACGACAAACGTATGTGTATGTTTTGTAGGGAGATCGTGTTGTTTTCACGGGCAATTTAATTAAAAACGCGGGTGTTGTACAACCCTACATGATATAACCATGCACTGATTTAATAACGTGAAGTTTTTTTGAATGTCGTTTTTTCAAATTTGCATTTCTGTATAGGTTTTCCCATAATTTCCCGATAGGCTTAGTGCATTTCAGTTGATTTTAAAAATTCCGACCCCAGCGCTCGATACAGCAGAAATCAGAAGTTTTCGATCTGTATTTCACGCAGTTCCGATTTTGATCGCATTGAAATAATATTAAAATAGTCGATTTGTCAAAATATTTAAGTATTTCAGTTTTTTGCTAGTACAGTTACTGAAACTACAAGACACTGAGTTACGACGAGGTTTGTGTGCTGTAACGCTGTTTCGGGTAGTAAAAATTAAGTGAAAAAGAACCCGAACTAGGCGTCGCGCGTCGTTTTGTGTTGTGACAATTTCAAATGTTAATAAAATTGTTGAAAAAATGTTAATACATACGTAAAGAACGTGTTGGGTGGTTGTTGGGTCCAATAACATTCAATAACTCAACTTTCCCCAATATTCAACTCTCCCGAAACAACATTTTATAGCTTCGCAACTTCTCACACCGATTTGATCAAAAGCAAAAATGGGTTCAAGCAGCTCGACGAAACAAGTGAGTAAACAAAGTGCCTATTACATAATCAAAAAATTAAATAGGCATATACTATGAGAGGATAAATTATAATTTGCAATTTTAATGGTATCCTTGTTTTAATCAACTAGTGCTTAATTTTTTTATGAACATCTTCTAAAATAAAATTATAATTATGTACCTGAAAAAAATCGTTATAACCGAAATAGCCGCAGTTATGCCTCTGCTAGCAAAATCGATGCGTAAAACTATATGTTACCTACTGCAGTTAAACTCATCTGAAAAGTCTCATTAGCTTGAATAACAAATTATAATATAAGTTACACCTTCTGAAGATATCAACTTACTCTTTTATTTATATTTTTAGAATTTCCACAATTTATACTTCCTAACACTTTTAGAATAATTAAATATTAAATGTTTGGCATACTCGTTATTCAAACTCGTTTATTTGTATATACTAGTTGTTTACGATATTCTCCGGTAATGACTCAAGGAAGGGGGACACAATAAATCTTTAAGGTCGCAGTGATTATAACCCCCCCCCCCCCTCTCACTCATTCTACATCTACATATTCTCCGGTTGTGGCAGCACCAGCGGAGGATGCACCAAGCTTATAAAGCTTTATTCTATAATGTTTAGTATGCCTCTGATAGAACGGCCCAGCTACGTCGAAACACCGGTTCCCATTAGAACACCGAAGTTAACCGACGTAAGGCGATACTAGTGGATGGACGGGTGACCGGTTTGAAACTCTGTATCGTGCTGTTGTCCAATAAAGGCAAAAGTGTAAAATCTATTGACACACACTGCTCATTAACGCCGGTTCGAGGCCGAATGAGATCGGAAAGCTCGTGAGTAAGAGTTGATTTCAACACTTGCCAAGTCGGTAGGCCATTGACTATGATATGGCCGAGGACCGCGGTTCTGATTCCGCGTAAACAAAGTAGGCCCCGTCCAGATTAGCCCTGGCAGCAAGAAGGAGACGTTAACTGAAATCTTTACTTTGATTTGTATCAGTGGAGAGATGTCCACTGATACAGATCAGAGGCATACTAGACATTATTACAAATAAGCTATAAGCGATGAGCACAAATATAGTTTCCAAAATATTTGCATGTTAACATTATCCTGTTATTAAAGTATTATTCCCTTAGGCATTTGAGTAAATTACAGGTCATAACTAGTCATGTATATACCAAGGCCATTAAATTATTCAAATGTAGGTTATTTAAATTCATTTATTATTATTTATGGAGAATTTAATAGAAGAGTATAATATAACCTTTGAATATA